GTGTTCTTAAGCACTTTGCACTGAAACAAAAATTATGCACAATACATGCTGGAATTTTGCATCTTAAGCTAAAAACAGAAGACATGCTTCAACTCGAAAAACTGCAGAATTTTTCAGATAATTCAATAAATTAATATGTAGTTAATAAAAAAAATATCTTTTAAAGTTATACCCAAAATATTTGTTTTTGATTGTTAAGGAAAAAAAAAATAGTGTATGGTTATGTTTAAAGTATAAATTATTATGCTGATTTAAAATTAACTATTATGCCTCTAAAAACAATTCTGCTATCCTTGTAAACTGATTTGTTGATAATGAAATTCAAAATGATTATACAGTAAACCCTCGTTGAATGCGGACTTGCAAAAGTGATTTTGCATATACGTGTTATCTTACTTGTCTTCATCTAATTTGTCCAGTGCAAGAATTTCAATTATATGTGGTATGCTGCAGAGCATCGGCCGCATTGTGATAATCTTTTTAGTGACTGGCTTGAAAATTCATTCATTAAGGAAGGTAGACATTACTGAGAACAGCAAAGCCAGAACTTTTAAAGTTCATCTAATGCTCGACAGTGCTCCAGGGCACAGCACTGAAGCCTCCATAACATTACATCCAAATATAAAGCTTTTATTCTTCCTACTGAAAACCACTTCCTTAATCCAACCAAAGCATCAAGGAATCATTAAAAACATTCAAAGCCTATTATGTGTGGGTACGGGTTCATAATAGATTGAATGCACAAGTCTGTTAATAGGTTAATAAAAATTTATTTTCATCAAAAGAAATATTTCACAGCTCTGGAATTTTCCATAGAAATATTTATACAAGTGTTCACAGTATAATAAGTGGTTACACTACAAACTATTAAGAACGTTAAACAAAACGCGATGCAAAATGGATCTAAAGAGAAAGCTGATCTGATTTCATGTTGAACTCGCAGCAATAACAACAGCAGCTAATCAGACAACTGAGAGCAGATACTCTCTCTTTGGCCTTAAATAGTTTTCAACTGGTTATAATATATTTCTAGTACTTTCCGCTTCTTGAAATTACTGGAAAGCAGTATGAGGGTGGAATTACAGTTACAGCTAACCTAGTGGTCAAGTGCATTTATTCAATTTGAATGCAAATTATCAAGAGAACCATTTACTGAATGTTAAATGCATGTGCCCCTGTATTCTTACTTTTCTGGCATAGCTTTGTCGTAAAAATTTGACCCGTGTTACATTACACAGAAAAAAATCCAATTTTAATTATAATTCTACTAAAATTATGTATTTAAATGCAAAATTTGTAACAATATGATTTATGGCACAACACTGTTACCTTCTTGAAAACCCTCTATATTTGGCCGGAGGCAGGTCATCCACTTTAGTTCCCCCAAAGAGAGGAGATTAGAAAATCACACTTGCTACTGCCACGGCCCCCACAAAACGAGACTGAAAGAAATCTCTCAGTACCCACTGCAACTGCGCAGGTGCACAGGGTCACCACTCCTGGTTTCCAGGTTTTGCAGTGATGGGAACATGCATGCTTGGAGATTTGACTGGTTCATTAGAAATGCTACCTGCCAGTACAATGTGGGATGCCCAAATCATGCACTGGGTCTGAGACTGTGCTACATCTCTCCCTGTGGGCCACTTGAAAATGAATCTGAGGACAGTTTCTGTGAATACCCACAGTCACAGGTAACCACCAAGATAAATGATTTTATACCCCATGGACGAGCCTGCCTAGGTACGGTTCCTAGCCAGTAGCTTTACAGAGTTCTCTGCATCGACTCCCTGGGGGGTGCAATGAGATGAATGAAAGCATGACACAGTAATGGCATTTTGGAAGCACTTCCATATAAAAAACTGCATACCTAGTGGTATGTTCCGTATAAAAAACTGCATACCTAGTAGTAAACTGCATATAAAAAACTACATGTACATGCATAGAAATTCAACAGTGGCTAGAGGCTATCAACAATTTTAAAGGATTTCCATTGATTGAAAAGGAAGCCAAGGAAATCATGTAAATTGCAAAAGCATTAGATGGTAAAGGATTTTTCATATAAGAAAGAGAAATTAAAGAATCAGTTGAGAATGTTGATTGTGAAATGACAAATGAGGATTTAGATGCTATTATATAACACCAACAGTGAAAGTAGTGATAGTGAAGATGATTAAGAGTCTTTAAAATACAAGAAGTTAAATGAATTGTTAAAAAAGGGCACAGGAATTGTCTGATTTTGTGTTAGAGATTGACCCAAATGAAGAAAGAAGGGGACGCTTTATGAGAGGTATTGAAAAACTTTGCGCTCCTTACCACAAAATGTTTAATGAATAGCGTCAGACATTGTCCCAAGCAAAAATCACCTTAAAAATAACTGTATTATGTATTTAATTATTAAGCAGTAATATAAATTTCAGTTAACATTTTTTGTTTTCCCCTTTTGATTAAAATAATATGTTTTATAATTTAGACATACTTTTTTAATCTAAACAGTGTTTATGTAATATCGCAACAACCTTATTAGAAATCGCCAAAATTTTAGAGTGTGCCGAATTATGGCATTTGCATTAATAAAAGTTATTCAGGCAACCATGCACTTGACAATTCTTCAGTTTTAGTCATGAACATTGCCTTTCTGGTATGCATTTTTAAAAATTTTAAATCCAACGGTTTTCATGGTTATTTCTCATCTTAAACTCGAGTCTAAAATATGTATGTACATGATTTGCCTGTATCGAGAGAGAATTGAACCCATTTTATCCATAAAAAGGTAACTTTGCAGAGCATGATTTTACCATGCATGCTATTTGTTAATGATGCAATTCATACATTTGACAAGATTTGATTAATTTTTAAATATATTTAATAGTTTCATGAATCGAAATGTTTGATCTGTTTTATAGATTTCTTGGGAAAATTTACTAGCTAAACATTTACATAGGCTTTTTAAATTTATATTTAATAATATTATATAAAAATTCTAAATATATTAAAACAAGATGAACTTTGTTTTCATTATAATAAACGTTTTTCACTAATCTCGCTCTCTCTCTCTGTATATATAGCCTTGCATTTTTATGTATTCTATGTGATTTTTCAAAATTTGGTCTAGATGTAAATACAGTCAAAAAAGTCTTTAATCCGGACTCGTCAGGAACTTTGGCGATTCCGGATTATCGGTTTTTTTCGGATTATAGATCATCAGTTTAAATCTGGTAAGATGGCATGCAGAAATTATAAAATTAAAAATATGAAACCGTAATTTATGAAATAAAGAGCAATTATGATCTAAAGGGTATCAAAATTTACAAAAAAAAAAAAGCTTTATATTTATTTGTTTACTTTATTAAACATTTCTTTTAACGCGCGGCATGCGTAAAGCGTACATTACGCATAGTCGAAATTAGAAAATTGCAACCAGAAAAGTATTTGATGTGTATTCATGATATTTATAATGACGAAAATTTGATTTAAATCATATGAGTACATCGAGATGAAATACTACATTTAGTAAGGAATTATAAGCGAATAAAATAAAAACATCTGCTCTGAAGATAAGGATAGTGCTGACAGATCAACTTCCAGTTCATTGCGTGCCGCGTCGTTTCCCTCCCCCGCAGAGCAACATGAAATTGATAAACATATTTCGGAATGATAAGAGAATCAAAAGATATGCCTTTATCCATTTTTTGCAACAATTTCACTTTTTGTTTGACGGACATCGAAACATGCTTTCGCTTTGTGGATCCTTTGGTAGCTCCAGAATCGGAAGTTCTTTTTGACATAATCGAAAGTTCAAGCTTACTTTTATAAAATTGCTCTAGCAGTCTGCAAAAAATAATAAGCCAGTTTCAATTAGAAGATTAAGAAACAATGCAATCTGCAACATTAAGTGAAATAGATAATTAGATAATTTTAGCTGAGCTTATACCGTTCGTTATACATTAAATGTGCATGTGTAAAGGTATTATGCACATGCGTTAACGCATTCGCAGAAAGTTTGTAGCTTTGAAGTCCAGATTATAGATCATTCCGGATTATGGACGTTCGGATTAAAAACTTTTGACTGTATATATCATCAGTTTATCTTGGTTTGTTAAATAAGGATGTGTTTTTTGGAATTTTTACATCATAATATTTGGTTTCTTAGTATAACTAATTTTTAGATGTATTTTTAGGTTGCAGTGGATGTTTAGATTGGAATGCAAGGCCTTGCGTTTTCACTTCCTTTGTGTGATTTTTAAAAATTTGACACGGATGTAAATATGGATCAATATGTGTTGACTTTTATAGCAAGGAGCGTTGCTTAGAATTTTACACGAGGGTATTTTATTTAACACTGTAACTAATTTTTAAAGGAATTGGCATAAATTTCTCTTTACACTCATCCAAAGTATATTGTTTATGAAAGATTGTAAATTAAAAGTGAAACTTGAAGGACAGTGAGAGGTCTTATAAAACAAATTCGACATCTATGTTTTTGCTGTTACCTTATAAGATAAATATATTATATTTTAAAATAAAGCAAAATTAAACTTTAGATTAATGGAATCAGAATATTATGGTTTTTTTTTTTTTTTTTTTTTAATAGTTTATATACTGAAGCTGTAGTCAACTGATTGCAACTGAAACTAGAATTGAAATGACATTTGTTACACTTTTAAAGGAGTAGGAATCCTTTAAGGCTATATAATAATAGAAAATAAGCAGTGCGTTACTTTTGGGCAAGAAAAACTTATGGTTTCACATTATAAAATATATTACATGAATATTTGGATTTTGCATCTGTACAGGCTTCATAATTTAATAATCATAAATTTTATTATTTGAGGCTTCTGAACTTTTTATAAGAAGGTTTAGTATTTTTGCATTGATGTTGGTTGTGTAAATTTTATATCTAAGAATGAACTTTGCTGATTTAAAGTTTTAAGCCAATTTTTTTTTTTTTTTCTTTTAGACATATACCATATTTTTAATATAGTTGTTATTCTTTCTTGTAGATGAAAATGAAATCAAGAAGGGTGAACTTCGTTATTTATACCGACAGGAAATGAACACATTGTGTGCATATGTCCAATCATGGATGCAGAGGTATGTTGTTTGTCATCACTGTAAATCATAAAGAAAGATGTTGACAAAGAAACAACTTTAAAAAATTATGTTATTTAAAACCTATGACAGTTAAGGAATTCTGATGTATAAACTGTAAGATCAAAATGTCAGTTTTGATGTTTGTTTAACATATGTTTTATGAATACGCATTTAATATCTTATTGGCCAAAATATAAGGCAATATGTTCCCTTTAAAATGCTCTTTTAGAAATCAAAAATATTTTATATGTGCAGCATAAAATTTCTTATATGTATTAAGATTCTTTATGATTTAACTGTTAAAATTTACATCAAAAGAAAATGTATGTATTTATTTAAGGTATGACATATAGATTATTTAATTATTTGTCTTGAAAAACAGTTTCAGTGTATCAAGTTCATTCATGTAAAGCCTGTTTATATGCTGACCTTTTTCCTACTTATAAAACACCTTCAAAAATGCAGAACTATTTTATGAGAGGCTGCTGTATACAAGGTAATAAAAAAAGTGTTTGCTGTTTGTTGTTGTCAAAAACAGACACACAGCATGTGATACTTATATTTGATTTCAAAGTAATCTCCATCAATATCCAGTAGTGTTTACTGATGTGCTGTCCTCTGGCAATAAAACTCAGGAGTCTTGGATATGAAGAAGTTTATGAGTATGTATTATATATCTGCCTCATTATTGAAGGACTTCCCATACAGATAGTTAGCCAGGAAATAGAAGAAGAGGTAATTTGGGAATGCTATATCACAGCATGCACATTTTTTCTTTGCTCAGTAACTGATATCTCTGCTTATCCTTGCCTCATGCTGTCTCACCTGTTGAGGAAGCACAATGCACCCTTGCAAATAACCATTGTTGGCTCCTTCATTACATGTTGAACTCATATCATCTATTGTGAGTAATAACTGTTAGCCTTTAGTGATGCTGAGACATGATAGTAGTAGCTTATAATGTACCTCTTGGCAACTAGTGCACCAGACTCGTAGCATGATTGTAGGTGGGTGCAAAGGTGATCTTTAGGTGATAGGCACAGAGTTCTGCAATGAGAACCTTTATCTGATATGCTTGGGAATATCATATTGGGTCCACTTTTCTTCATTCTTGAGCATTCAGCCAAATACTGGTATGTTGTGATGGAGACAACAATGAAAAACAGACTGCCATTCATTGTCCCTTGTTGGCTGCTGATAATGTGTGTGGTTTTCCTTCTCAACTTTTATACGTTTCCTGTCCAGTGCAGGTGAAATCTGATTATTTCCTTGGAAACCTGGAAGCATTCAGCAAGCTCACCTCATGTTTGACTACTGTTCTGTTCTATGGATGTTTTCAGGACCTTGTCATCCAGTGCACATGGTCACATACTGTGATGTTCATCACAAAGACTCAGATCTCCTGACCTGATTTTCTGGAACCAGTGCTTGCTGATACATTTGTTTACAGCATCTTCCCCAAATGCCCTTCATATTCAACAACTTCCTGTGGCTGCTGACTGGTTCACCTTAGAGTCATACAGCAAACAATCATGAATCAGACACTTTGATACCTTCATTTCTTTTTTACACTGGACATGTTGTGGTTATTATGTATGCATAATGTGCATACACTTTGATTACACTAAGTCTGCGTCACTTCTCCAATACAAGAGTTGTATTATTTTCTTTCTGTGACAGTTTCATCAGAAACAGGTGGAACTTTTGCTTACCTTGTATGTGGCTCAGTAGAATTCAGTAGTTATCCTTTTTCCTCTCTCTGGGACTTGAGTTATAATTATTTTAATATTTTTATTATTATTGATTGGGAATAACTGTAATGGATTGGCAGACAGTTGTAGCCAAATTCAACATAATTTTATTACTGGATAAGGCAATTCTGGAGACAGTATTTGCTTTACACATGAATATAGATGCAATAAATCAATTTTGAAAGCTATGATGCATTGCAGTTTGAATAATACTGCAGAACGGTGAACAGATTTGAGTTAATTAAGCATGGGTAAGCATAGAACGAGAGTACATAGTTGGATTGCAGTAGCATTTAGTAAAAAATTTTCTTTTATCTGATTGTCTAAGAACTATATGCAATGCAAAAGGTTAAAATCCCATAAAGCAGAATTAGTTTTCAGATGTGATGCACTTTCAAAAAAGCTATTACTATTTTTAGAATAAACAGGGAGAAGTGCCCAAATTTAAAAGAATTAAGCAGCTATTGCTAATTTAATGTAATTCATAGTTACATATTTTTTTATCTTACATGTACAATATTTAATTTAAAAATTACTGTCAAACTCTCCTGTATTCTTATATTTCAACACTTTCAGGCTTATTGGTCATATATATTAGGCCAAAAAAAGCAGCCTTAATTTGGTGTAGATTTCGAGCAAAACTCTTACTTTGAGGATGATTATGTACAAGACCTTATTTGTCGAGAAGCGATTTATTGTTCCAGTTTTAATTTTTAGCATGTGTCCTGCATTTTCACTGTTTTTTGAGGTGTGAAGAAAAATAAAATTGTAAAGCTAGGTAATAATATCAGGTAGTTAATACATTAACTATAAATAGAATAATTTTTAAATTTTAATTAAAAAATATGCAGATAATGTTATGGGTTTGTTATGTGCCAATACTGAAGCCTTCTACTATTTTCTGAAGGATGAATTCTTTTCTTTCTTTAAGCATGAAACTTATTCTGTGAGTAAGATCGTATTGAGAAAATTTGGTATGTGTGTGTATTCCAATTGAACGTAAAAGTCAGTGGGGATCTGTCAGTCATTTTGGGAGAGTTTCAAGAGCTCAAGCTTTGAGGTTATGCAATGAACAAAATTATTAACACTTATGCCAATCATTCTGGCCAAAATTCATCCAAATTTCCTTATGGCATTTAAAATAAAACAAAAGTCTTTATAAATATAACTTCTTTAAAATATGAATCAAAATGTTGTTAGTATGTTCCACTGCGTCATTTTGCCAAATCCTAGAATTTTTCATGTCTTGAGTACGCATACCAGTGTAACCAATTCCATAATTTTGAAAATATTTCACTGCTTGCTATTTTGTAAAATGGCAAGTGAAATTTTTAATTGAATTTTAGTTCTTAATTTTTTTAGAGCAAGAAAAACAAGAGAAGTATCTGTTAACTTATTTCCTTCTTTTTTTTAAAAAATTTTTTGGCATTTTTGTGGGTCATAAACATAAAAGCAAAATCTTATAAAATTGTTGTGATGTCTTATTTATCTGTAATTGACATTTAATTGCATTTATTTGATGATACTTTTTGCTTGTCAAAAATGATTGATGGGAAAATACATCGAAATTTTTCTTGACAGTCTGAGTAGCAATGCTCTTAATCTTTAAATATTCGAAACATTTTTCTAAACTGATATTTTGGGTTTAGTTACATATACATTTAAGTGTTTATGTCTTCAGTTTGCATATAATCCCAGAAAATGATCTCAAACCTGAAATATCTGAGATCAGTTTTTGTCCTACTGAAGTCAAACATTTTGTGTTTTATTTTTTAAATATGTATCATATGGACAATGAGAGCATATAAAAATTAAAGTTCATAAGGTAAAAGTTTAGAATTGGGTGCCCCTTGTTTATTATTATTATTATTATTATTATTATTATTTTTTGATGCCAAGATCTCTGCCAGGAAGGCACAATTTCAGGGTGGCCGCTATACAAAACCAAAATGAGAAGTCAAAGAATTGCAGTACTGCTTTAACTTTGTCCATGTACACATCAATCTATTTTCACTTAAAAAAATCAGGGAGCTAAAATAAAGTTAAAACTATCATGGTAACCAGAAATGGGGTTTCATCGCCAAAATTGAACAAAATTTGTCGCTAATCAAAGGAAAACCCAATTCTATACTAGAGCCGTTCATAATTTTGACAAAATTGATTTTTTTAAATTTGAAAATGCTAAAACATGAATATTTGCATTATTTAAAATACTTTTGTAATTGGAAGTATGTATTGATGACCAGTTTTTATGAAAATAAACACTGTAATTTTATGAGCACAATGAGTAGCTTCAAGTAAAAAGTAATTCCATGAACCTTTAAATTTTTTTAGAAAATCTTTTCTCTTTTTTATTGTATAAAAATGCCTATTACTGTCACAATTTAATTCATTAAAATTATTGTAATCAGAATACTTTATTCTTTTTTTTTTGGGGGGGGGAAGGGTGAAAATGACTAAATTGTTTAATGCACATATTTAAAGTATTAGAAATTTAGGTATTTATTATTTGTACCCCTTCCAAAAAGTTGGCAACTCGTTGGTAAATGGAGGGTACTACAAAAGAGTGCCTCATATTTATCAAATTTTTTAACATTCGACTACCACATAAGTTTATAAAAAAATCTCCATCAGACCACGAGTGCTGCCATACCATCTGCCAATTGTTTCTGAGCATATGTATTTAGAATGTCGAGAATGATATGTTGCAGGACATGCATTCAATTGAAAATCTTTGATTAAAAACTAATTACTAAAAAAAGCGTGCAAGATCCTAAAATTATTTCTTTTCTAAATTTTTTTTTAGTGACGAATGGTTAATTTTTTTTTTTTTTTTTTGGTAAAATTGTTGCCCTAATTTTTTGGAATGTCAAAAACGAAAATGGAAGAGTTATTTTGTAGTGAATCCTATAGCAGTAAAGAAGAAACCTGTTATGAGGTTTACAAAAATTCAGATAGTAGCAATGAGGAACAGCAGAGATTTTTCAGAGAGAGAAATATAAATAGAATAACATAGTCAGGTTCTGATTCAGATGCTGGTAAATGCAGTGGTAATGAATGTGGTGTAAATACTGTTGATCGTATTGTGCAAGAATTGATTGTTGAGAAAGGAAGAAAAATTGGTACTGAAGAAAGTACAATTCAGTTTAGTGAATGGAATGAATTTAGTTGTTGCTAACAGTCATTTTCTTTTCTCTCTTTAACCACTCAATGATAATTTTTTTAAATACCTACTAACTTACCTCGCAA